CCCCAAAACCCCAAAACCCCAAAACCCCGTTCTATATTTATCAGATATATCGGAATTAGTAATATTTAAATTTCTAAAATAAATCCTAAATAATATTATAATAATGGGATTGAGATCATTTATAATGATAGATAGGAATACAAATTAATTATAGTAATAAAAGATTGAATGGAGAAATCTAAAAAAGATGGTATTCTTGCACTGACTTCAGGATTCCTTTGCATGTTTGTAAGATTAAACCTTATCCCATTCATCATTAAAACTTAGTGCTTGGGAGTTAGTTATTTGACTGGAAATCTTAACCCATACATTACGGACTATTATCGTCAATATGATAAAAGTATTTCCGATTCAACTGTGTACTTAATGTCACCTGTTGCAAGCATAGCAACAACAATATTCGCTCCTATTGGAGGATTCCTGGCGAAAAAATACAGTCCAAGAGTGTAAGTATTGACTTTATTTATAATTGTTTAGAATTATTGCAATTGGATTGCTTATTGGAACCATAGGTTTCATAGCAGCATCATTTCAAAGATAAATTTGGGCATTTATTCTATTCTACTCAGTATTTTAAGGAATAAGCTGTGGAATAATAGTAAATATTTCTCATATTTTAATTATATATTTTAGTATATCTCTATCTTTAACTAAGCTTGGCTTTATTTCCCAAAGAACAAAGGACTTGCAGGAGGAATATCATTTATTGGAGTCGGAATGGGGCCACTTATCTTCGGACTTTTATCTGATGTAGTCATTAATCCAAATGACCTAGGAATGGATATTCACACAAACCTATATCCAAGGTCAGTCCTAGACAACTTAATGACATTTGTGAGGATTATTGGGCTTTTTTGGTTCTTAGTATTAGGACTTGCAATAATAATCTTATAACCACACCCAGACACACTTAATCCTAATGCTCTGGGATCCCCAAAAAGTGAGGGAAAGAGTCTTGTTACAGTAAGAGTATATGATCCTATGAGAATCAGTTCAATGACTATTGATTCTGACAATGAGGATGTTTAAGAGAGGCATAAACTTAAGATGGGATATAACGATAACAGTAAGATTATCTATAAAAATAATCTTGTTTATAGTCTAAGATGGTTACTTGGAAACAAGGGAGAGCATTGAAATAGCAAATGAAATAAAGACAAAAAAATAAAAATCAGCATTAAGTGTGGCTTTGCAGTCACGATAATTCTGTCTTCTCTATCTAATGGCATTTAGTTCAATATGTAAATACTAAGATTTTTTATTTCTTTAGTTATTGGAAACTTTTTGGCCTCTTAATACAAGACTTATGGACTTTCAGTGGGCCTTCCCAATAGATATTTGACATTACTGGGATCTATTGCTTTTATTTTTGGAGCTATTAGATTCATTTGGTCTTATTCAGTTGATAGATTCTCCTTCAAATTCAGCTATACTATTGTCCTTTTGATTCAAATTGTGATAAGCTTGTCTTTCAGATTTGTAAAGGATAGTAAGGCACTCTACTTTATCTGGATATGCGCAATTATTTTCACTGAGGCTGGACACTTTGCAATGTTTCCTACAGCTGTTGCAAAGCTTTTTGGTGATTTGGCTCCTTAAGTGTATGGAATTCAGTTCACAGCTTTTGGATTATCATCGGTGGTTTCAACAATAATTGTTTACTTTACACTTGATAGTATTGGACATGAATTCTACTTTAACGTAGGTGCTGCTACTAGTGCCTTCTCCTTGTTAATTTTACTTGTGTTTTTCAAAGAAACAAAGGTTAGATATTGAGGGCTCACAACAGAGAAGTAAATATTGCTCACTTAAGCAACACAAGGAAGTGTAAAATAACTACTCTAATCATCTATATCTCATAATTTAAAATTGAATTTAATTTGATGAATAATCCAACTTATAATTATTTGCACAAGTTTGGGGTTTTGGGGTTTTGGGG